TTACCCACTAATAATGCCAGCTGCCCTGCCCTTTCCCCTCCCCAGGTGGACAAGAATGCCTGGTGCCAGGGCCTTGGCCTGCTCCAGGTCCCCTCAGGGCTCCCTCTGGACATTGAGGTCCTCAACCTGTCTGGAAACCAGCTGCGGAGTATCCTGCCCTCACCCCTGGGCTTCTACACGGCACTCCGTCACCTGGACCTGAGCGCGAACGAGATCAGCTTCCTGCAGCCGGGGGTCTTCCAGGCCCTGCCCCACCTGGAGCACCTTAGCCTGGCCCACAACCACCTGGCGGCCAGCCCCGCAATGAGTGCTGGTGGTCTGGGCCCCCTGCCACACGTGACCTCCCTGGACCTGTCCGGGAACAGCCTGTACAGTGGACTGGTGGAGCGGCTACTGGGGCAGGCACCCGCGCTGCGCACCCTGTCACTAGCGCAGAACAGTCTGACGCGCCTCAGCCGGCACACCTTCATGGGGATGCCTGCCCTGGAGCGGCTTGACCTACACAGCAACGTGCTAATGGACATCGAGGACGGTGCGTTCGAGGCCCTGCCCCGCCTGGCCCACCTCAATCTCTCGAGGAACTCCCTCACCTGCATCTCCAACTTCAGTCTCCAGCAGCTGCAGGTGCTGGACCTGAGCTGCAACAGCATCGAGGCCTTTCAAATGGCCCCAGAACCCCGGACAGAGTACCAGCTTGCCTGGCTCGACCTGCGGGAGAACAACCTGCTCCACTTCCCCGACCTGGCCGCGCTCCCAAGGCTGGTCTACCTGAATGTGTCCAACAACCTCATCCGGCTCCCTGTGGAGCCACCCCAGGGCAATAGGGGCACCCAGGGCTGGTCAGCCTCACCCTCGAACCCCAGCTGGAACACCAGCACCCATGCCCTTTCCCAGCTCTTGAACCTGGACTTGAGCTATAATGAAATCGAGCTGGTCCCCAGTGACTTCCTGGCACACTTGACCTCGCTGCACTTCCTCAATCTCAGCCGAAACTGCCTGCGCACCTTCGAGGCCCGGCACGCGGGCTCCCTGCCCTGCCTGGTGCGCCTAGACTTGAGTTGGAACATGCTGGAGGCACTAGAGCTGGGCTCCAGGACCTTGGGGTCTCTGCGGACACTGTTGCTGCAGGACAATGCCCTGCAGGACCTGCCCTCCTACACCTTTGCCAGCCTGGCCAGCCTACAGAGGCTCGACCTACAGGGGAACCGGGTCAACCCCTGCGGGGGACCGGGGAAACCCGGGCCCTCTGGCTGTGTGTCCTTCTCTGGCATCTCCTCCCTTCGCACCCTGAACCTGGTGGATAATGAGATCAGGGTGCTCAGGGCAGGGGCCTTCCTTCACACCCCACTTACTGAGCTGGACCTGTCTGCCAACCCAGGGCTGGATGTGGCCATGGGGGCGTTGGCGGGCCTGGAGGCCTCCTTGGAGGTCCTGGCACTGCAGGGCAATGGGCTGGCGGTGCTGCAAGTGGACCTGCCCTGCTTCAGCTGCCTCAAGCGGCTCAACCTGGCTGAGAACCGTCTCAGCCACTTGCCTGCCTGGACGCAGGCCGTGTCGCTGGAGGTGCTGGACCTGCGGAACAATAGCTTCAGTCTACTGCCGGGCAGTGCCATGGGCGGCCTGGAAACCAGCCTCCGGCGCCTCTACCTGCAGGGCAACCCGCTCAGCTGCTGTGGCAATGGCTGGCTGGCGGCCCAGCTACATCAAGGCCGTGTAGACGTGGACGCCACCCGGGACTTGATCTGCCGCTTTGGCTCTCAGGAGGAGGTGTCCCTGAGCCACGTTCGTCCTGAGGATTGTGAGAAGGGTGGCCTCAAGAATGTCAACCTCATCATCATCCTCACCTTCACTGTGCTCGCCGCCATCCTCCTCACCACACTGGCCACCTGCTGCTGCGTCCGCCGGCAGAGGTTTAACCAACAGTACAAGGCCTAGGGAGGCCCAGACCCTTCAGATCAACAGGGAGCCATGGCATGGAGGAGAGTGGGGCTGACCCAGCTCACGCAGTGAGCAGGATTCCAGACCCTGGTCCATACGTGCTAGCCCAGGGCATTCTCTCTGCACCCTGCCACTTAGTAGATGACCCAGCTGTGGGAGCCAGAGCTTGGGAGGCTTCAGGGGAAGCAGAAAAGGAAACCGACCCATCAGGTCAGCAGATCTCCACGAAGCATGTGTTTTATGCCACACCCTGCTCTGGGCACCAGGGATGCTCATAAACAAGGTGCATCCCGCCCTCAAGCCTCTCCCTGCCAGGAGGGGCTGTCCGGAGCCCCACAGTGACCTCAGTGTTTCAGGCTCACAGTGTGGAAGTTGGGGCTCTACGGCTCTGCAGCCCCAGCCAGGTCCGTGTGGATAGTCCTGCCCTGGCCTTGCCAGGGTAAGGGAAGGCCAAACCCCAGAGAGGCTGCCTGAGACAATTCCAAGCAGGCAGTCACATCTAATAACGACATTCGGCCTCTCTGGAAAATAAAGAGCTCATGACCGGAAGAGAGGACCGGAGCCACAGGAGTGTGCCTTGGGCACAGAGCGTGGGGTGGTCACTGCAGGCTGGTTGAGAAGCTGCCTCCTGGACTCCAGCCAGGCTGGACCACTCCTTTCAGCTCTGCCCCAACTGGCTCTTCCCCTCCTGTGCTCTCACGTTGCACACACCAATGCCAATGCTGCCCTAAGCCCACCCTCCTGCCCAGGCCTTCTCTCCCCAGCCCTTTGCCCCTCCTGAGCTGGCAAGCCGGGAGTAGAACCTTAGATGTGTGGGTCTGCTGTGCACCAGGCTTGGCCAGCTGCAGATGCAAGCCCTGGGTCAGCCCTCAGAGGCTGGCAGTTTATTCCCATTGTACAAAAAAGGAAAGCCCGCAAGCCTCCGGGGTTTCCTGCAAGGCCCCGCAGCCATTGCTGAGATTCACACCCACACCCTGGGCCCCCAGGGCCCAAGCTTTGCCTGGGAGGGCTGCAGGTGTTAGGTGGACTGGGAGTGGCCCACAGCATCCCTGAAGGACATGGGGCACCCCATGCTATTCGTGCCCCCTCTCTTGTCTCACCCAGGCCGGCAGAGAGAATTCGCTCCTCCTTTTCTACCTCAGTTTCCCTCCTGCTTCCCTTTGCAGACTCGTGGGATTCTTCCTTTTCTCTTCTTGCTCTTGCATTCTCTCACTCCCTCTCCCTCCACTGAGTATAGCCCAGAGTGAAGACGGTCAGATCTGACCTCCCCATTGCACTGACAGAGAAACTGAGGGCTTGGGAAGAGAATGCAACTTGCCGAGACAGAGCTGCCCTGGTCAGTGGTGAAGCCTGTGGATTCCGATCTTGGGCAGGGTAGGGTGGGGTGGATGAGGGCCACACCTGGGCAGGTTCTTCTCTCCTCATGTTTACGTCTCAAGATGATGCTCACTCCAAACTTTCTGTTCCTCATCAGGTGAGGATTTCCTTTCCCCTCGAAAAATAGATAGAAAGACCCCTGTCCCTCATACCCTGGAGTCCTGAGCTATCTAAGAGAGCCGGGGCCCTGTTTGGCCATCCTCATCCTCTTGCCTATGGCTGACCCGCAGTCTGGTTCATGACCATGTCAGTAAAGTGCGAGAAAACAAAAATGCCACTCACTCCACCCCGTTTCACAGATGAGAAAGCTGAGGCCCGGACACTGCTCAGGACTCCGAGAGTCAAGGGCAGAGCCAGGGATAGACCTGTGGATGGGGACAGCCGGGGAGCCCCGTGCTGGCTGGGATTGTGGCCACAGGTGCTGCTGTGCTTGTACTCCTCCCCGGGCCTGAGGCCAAAGGGTCTCCCCACGCCTGATCTTTGAAAACACTACATAATGCTGCTGTCACCTCCCAGGAGCCAGGCCACAGCCCAGGTCGCATATAATCCACGAGAATGTATTAAAAACTAGTTTTGGAGAAGCTGTAGTCTGCCTCCTTGCTGCGGGTAATGAGAACTGTCGGGTCCTCTGGGCCCTGTCCTCTTCCACTGCAATCTTTCAGTCCTTGTGGTCAGTCCTGCGGGACACAGGGGACCTGGGTCATCCCGCCATGGACCTTGCATCCCTGGCTGCCATCATGACTACTGCCACACTCTGTCCCCACACACTTGGCAGACAGCCCTGTTCCCCCCAACCTAAGAACCAAGGCCCATTTTCTTCCCTTTTGCAGCCCTGTGCCACCCCTTATGCCACCCCCTTGCCTCATCTAGGAGAAGGCGCTGTGTCCTCCTTGGACCCCCATCCTTCTTCCCCCATGCCCGTCCTCACTCTCTGGCTTCAGCCTTCCCCCCTCCTCGGCATGCCTTCCTTTCAGACTTCAACCAGACCTAAGTCTTGGCTTCTTAAAATAGTACGAAGACTCTCCACCGCTCTCCCCTTCCTCCTGCTCTTCACAGGCAAACTTCCAGGTGAAGCAGCATCCCCCTCCAGAGTCACCCACCCCTAGACTACCATGGCTGGTTCCAATCTCTTCCCCTCAGGCAGCTGGCCCCTCAGCCAGGCCTTCCCTCTGGGTCTGTGATCCCACACGAAGCCAGCTGTCCCTCTCTCCGAGGCCACACTCCCTCTGGCTCCTCTGTGTGCTTGTCTTTCTGGACCAACCATCTCTGCACCGCTCTCCCCTTCCTCCTGCTCTTCACAGGCAAACTTCCAGGTGAAGCAGCATCCCCCTCCAGAGTCACCCACCCCTAGACTACCATGGCTGGTTCCAATCTCTTCCCCTCAGGCAGCTGGCCCCTCAGCCAGGCCTTCCCTCTGGGTCTGTGATCCCACACGAAGCCAGCTGTCCCTCTCTCCGAGGCCACACTCCCTCTGGCTCCTCTGTGTGCTTGTCTTTCTGGACCAACCATCTCTGCACGACGATCACCAGCCAGAACTCTGTGTGAGGCCCGTCCCTTGGGAACACATGCTTTGGCACCACCTGCAGTGATGACCAGGCTCACACCGCTGTCCCCAGCGCCACCCTTCGGAGTGTCCACGGAGCATCCTATTACCCAGAGGCTTCAGCTGGAGGGTGGAGAGTTTATGGAGAATGTACTTGTGAGCAGCCAGCTGCAAGGCTGGTTGAACTTGGAGGAGAGCGTTCCTGGCTCCTGGATGGTGAGCGCGTGGGGTCTAGGGGAGAAGACAGGAGCCCCTTCCTGGGTGGGGGTGAAATGAACTCTGAGAGCTCAGGGAGGGATGCCCGACCTCCCACCTGCCACCCCTTCCAGCAGTCTAACATGGAGACTCCCCGCCTCAGGCCCAGGAGTCATGTGACTTCTCACTTCCCAGTTCCTGCTTCCGACTCCTCCTCTCCAGATGAATTTATTTTTTCAATTCATGATAAAGCATGTGTGTATGTAAAAGAAAGAGAGAGAGTGCACGCACTCTACACAGGGCTTGGTCACGCCACAGTGCCCCCCCAACAGGTGCAGGGCACTTGTGCACGCCGGTGTGGCCTCGAACTGTGTTCAGGATGTGGTTCCAGCTTCACAGCCCAGGATGCAAAGGAAAACTATACATGCCTGCTTCATGAGGTCGGGCAGGGGTGAATGTGCGTGTGCTCAACCCCTTGGCCCTGAGCAGGTGTTGAGTGAAGGCCTAAGGGAAAGGCAGTAATGGCCAAGCTCGCCCAGAGGCTGCGGGCTCCCATCCAGCAGGAGCCTACCGGGCCTTTGACCTCTTTTCCTGGCAAACAGGGGAGTTTGCTCACCTGGCCGAGACCCCCAGCAAGGCAGAAATTCCTGTTTTCAACCACACAGGGATACAGCTGCCAACTAGGTCACCAGAGCATCCGGCTTCCGAGCTCCAGCAGGTTCCAGGGACAAGGGGCCCTCCCCCGCCCGTGTCACACCCCGAGGCTCCAGGTGGCCAGCTCCTCCAGGTCAGAGATCCAGGATGGCATCCCCTGGGCACTGGGCTGTGATCCTCAGCTGTCCCCCTTGGTCCCCTGTGCTGGCCATATCCCCAGGCCCACGGTTCACCATCTTCTCTCTGCACCTGCCCTTTGGACAGCTCACAGACCCTGGGTCCCAGCTGCCCCCCAGTCCCTCTCATTTCTGCTGCTCAAAGCTGGCAGTGTCAGGAGCTCCCCGGGAGGCCTTCACGCTAAGTAGCCTATGTATTTGGTCATCGGAAAAGTCATGACATATTTTTATATGCGAAAATGCGTCATGACTTTTCTGAGGACCCAATACATTGGTCCTGTTTGATTCTAACTATCTTTGAAGGCGTTTCTTTTTGCTTTGTTTCTTGTCCTTTACTTTGCCAGAGGGCACACCCACTCATCAGAGAGAGACAGGGAGGGAGAAGAGAAAGCACCCCCCCCTTGTGGCACAGTCATGCTACAATCCTTCTCCGTATCTCCATCGTGTCGGGATTGGGGCATGATGCACATGTGCCTGGCCTGCTTTCTTTAAGCCACCAGGAATCATACTGCAGTCTGCTGTGTGGGATCTGGCGCCCTAACCACCAGGCCACAGGCCCAGGCCTTTGAAGGAATTTCTATTGTTGTTATCAGCCTCATTTTAGAGAAATAGAATGCCTAGAGATGACACCTGATCTCAGGTTCACCCTCTCTGATGGATGGTCTTAACCGCTGAGCAGCACTGGCTCCCCACACTCCCCAACACCAGGCTCCCTCCTGCCCTCTCTATGGGACAGTCTCACCTACTCTCACCCCTGCGAACGCCCCTTCTGCAGCCCTTGCCCACACCACCTCCTCCGGAGAAGCTGCCTGATTTCCCTCCACCATGGACCACTGGGTGTCTGCCAAGCCCACCAGCAGGCCGGGAGATGGTGAGAGGGCAGTCCCACCAGGGCCCACTATTAGCCAACACAGACTGCACACACTCAGAAAGGGCTTCCCAAATGAATGGCCCCTGACCTCCAGGACTTAATAAGAGCTTGTGGGACTAAGACCAGCCCTCGGGCAGACCACGAGGTGAAGAGGCTTCTCAGACAGACCTAGGGGACACAGAGAGGACTGCTGGGTGCAGGGGGTTGCTGGGCACAGGCTGCCCAACGCAATAGTGTCCAGCGGGGAGGCAGAGGAGTCCTCTCTGACCTCTCTCCATTTCCCAACTGCTGCTATCATCTCCACCCTGTCTTTCCCCTCCTCGCCGCCCTCCTCCCCCTCTTGTTCTTTCCTTTCCCGCCTGGGTCATCTCCTTGCCCCAGGCCCTATCTCACTGGAAACAGTTGGAGCTGCAGCTGAGAGCGGCAGGGTGGAGGGAGGAGGCTCAGCTGTTTATAGGCGCTGGAGCGGCTCCATCCATCAGCTCTGCTCAGACCTAGAGACCAAGCATAATAAATACTTGGCTCTGCCCCAGCCTTGCTTTCCCTGAACTTGGCCTCACACTTGAGCTCTGCGGCCTGCTGGTTCTCAGGACTCAGCTCCCACCCGCCCTGTCTGCCCCTACCTCCCACCAAACTGCCCCAGAGGGAGCCCTGCCTCTGGCACCAGCAATGCAGGACTCGTTGAGGCTCTGTGACCCCTTTACTGTGGGTACCATTGTCCCACCCATAACCTGGGCCAGAGTTGGTGTCCCCAGATTCAGCACAGCTCCATTCACTGGGTCCCAGAGTGTTTGCACTGTTCTGGGCTTGGCCTGTGGACTGCCCAGGAGCCATGGAAGAGTCTCTGCCTGCTTTTGAGATGGAGAGCAGGCCACAGGCACAGTCAGGAAGTGGTCAGCACCACGAGGGAGGTCCAGATTTCAGGCTCGGGGAGTTTGTTTGCAGCAGGGAGTGGCCCTCCAGCTGGAGGAGTAAGGGGAGATTTGGAAGACATCTGGGCTGGCCTCACCAGGAAGGGGAGATTTCAACATGTGGATAGGGAGAGGCTCTCCAGGCAGAATGCACTGCAGGAGCAAAGACTGGGCAGCTGGGAGACACTGGGTGGGCATGGCGGACAGAGAGGAGTCTACCTGGCTCAGCCTGTACCCACCACTGTAACTGTCCTCACTAGTCCTGCAGCACCTTCCGCTCAGAATGTCCAGCCTTCTAGAATCTTCCCTCCTTCTGTGGAGAGCTTCCAACTCACCCAGCTCATCTCTCCCAAGTTGTGGATGTGTTCCCAGAATTCTGCTGTCATATCCCCACTCCCACCCCACCATTCCTGAAAGACTTGCCCATGCCCCT